GCACTCCCATTGAACGCAGCAACAAACTCATCGTACAGCAACGAGAACGCCGTGAACAGCACAAGCACACGCACACTGCGGTGCTTCGCCAGGTGACCCGCGACCACAGCGACATCGGTTGCAGCGAGGCCCACGACGAACACATCGCCATCGCGAGGCAGGTGGCTCTCCAGCGCGTCATCGGCACCCAGCAGCGCGGACGACAGCAGCGACCCGCCAAACGTCACTAGCGACTGCCGCAACACATCAGCAATAGCAGCTGCCTCGTCGCTTCGGATCACAGCGTGGGCGTTGGCGTCAGCCGTGTTGGCGAGGTACTGCGCAAGCACAAAGAGCTCCTGCTCCAGCGTCGGTGACAGGTGAATCACATGCCTCTGAAAGTGGTTCAGCCGCGGCTGAAGGAACACTGGATCAATGAAAGTGACCTCCGACTGCTCCAGCATTTCCTCCGTTACCATTCCCACCACAGCATCTGTCACTCTCTCCTCTATTTCCTGGTTTAGCGTCATTCCTGCATCATCTGTAGTCGAATTCAAAAACTGCAGAAAGAAGTTTTGGGTATCCCTAGGGCTGGCCTTACCCAAAGCGGCAACTGACCCTTTCAGCCATCGCGACGTTGCCGTCGAGTGCTCCGATCCATCCACCAATCTTACAGCAACACCATTAAGGGGCTGACGCATACGAAACATTGTGTGATAGCAATGTGACGTCTTCAATGTCATAATACCTTCACTTACCGCTTCCGCAAGAAAATCCTTCACAAATCGCTTCATATAAACCGTCCGGCCACCCTGGTTGCAGTAGCAGACGGCACCGTGAGATTTGGCAAGCGCAGAGCAGGCTCCACCGAAATCCCCAAACACGAGGTCGTCGACAACATAGCGACGCTGATTGAACAGAGATTGTCTAAATGTCTCTCTGTCTCTTATCCACTCAGGAGACCTGAGAGCCTGAGACATCACTTCACCGACAATCCACCCAGAAACCATCAACTCGCCAACCTCATCGTTATGGAGAAAGTCTCCTTCGCCGTTGTCAAAGCTGGATCCCACTGTTTTCAAGAAGGAACGAATCACTTTGCGAAAGCGCTTAATCGCCTCGTACTGCGTGTCGCTCGCAAGCGGACTTACACCCGTTGTGATCACTTGGCCACTCACAAACGGAACACCACCAGCACTCACCGCCTCACGCCACGTACTCAATAGAATGTCCTGTAGTGCAAACGGCCCAAGCAGGAAGGCGTCAGCGGTGCGGGGGTCCGTCAACATTTTTTGGATAAATTTGATGGTGTCGTTCACACGTGCACCAAACACAATCACAGCCTGCGGGCGGGTGTCGGCAAACTTCTCCCACTCGGCGTTGAACACAGCATCATCAGCGGACCCGGTGTAGGATCCATTCAGAGTGAACACGCCGCTGAACTCACCGCCCATTTTGGACATTGTCTGCTGGGCGACTTGATATTCCTTATCACCGAAGGAAAGACCCTGCAGGTACATGAACCCAAACCGACGCACAAGTAGAGAGGAGATAGTGTAGCGGAGGAGGGCCATCACCTCAGCGGCAGGACTCGTTCGCACGAAGTAAAAGCTGGGGTTCCACGTGCGGACAGCAGATGTTATTGTAAAGGGCGCAAACGCCATCATATTGTGCTTCTCGAGTGACTTCGTGATAGAC